TATATTTTCATGTACATTATTATAGATTAGTTAAGCATACAGTCTTCTGATTGGTTGTTTCTCACCTAAAGTTAATCTTTCATCTCTTTGTGACTGTTTCTTGAATGTCAGATCATCTATATGTTAACTGTATCTGTCAACGCAAAGTCTGCTGTGGTCGGTTTTTGAATCAGTCTTGTTCATATTTTCTCACGACCAATCTTGAGAACGTAAACATTAACATCCATTACTGTCTACCAATTTGGCTAGTAGACAGCTCTCACCACACTCTTCCCCCCGTCAAAGACTTGCGACTGAAGTTGGTTCGGTCTTCTTGGTTCTTGGGGCTTTACTCTTTTGTCTTGCTGTTTGGAATCTCGGCGCTTGTGGATGTTCACCTGTTTCTCTGTGTTTACCATTGCGATTGTGTCTGCGTAACCCCATCTCAACGTGACCATGTGTGGTCCTTCCCACTTTGGAAACTGTTTGCCTGACCCTGTCGCACATTCGTAGGTATTTCGGCTCACACTTTCATATGCTGCTTTCTCCCGACCCCCCAGAAGCGTCCCAAGTAGCAGCTTCATTGCTGACAGATCTTGAACTCTACTTAACTGCAAAGAAGCCTCGAAGTCCTACCCGAAGATCCATATGTCTCCATCAAAAACTGCAGGGCCTAGGCTTTCCATTTGTCGGTAGGTAGCGACACCAAATGTAACAACAGAAGACAAGGGCCAGACAACAGATCGTTTATTAAGGAAATCAATATATCCAGACATCGACTGTCATCAGAGGAAATGACAGTTGTGCAACCAATTATTGAAAGAAACACATATGTTCATGAAATAATGGATTTAACACATTAGAGATTCGGCAAAGTTATCCTATATAATGAGTATTAAGAATATGCGGATTGAAATTAATAAACGTAAGTCTTATCAAAATAAATGTGACAGTAGCATAGAAATCGGTAGTATACAAACCTGCTTCATCGATTGAGGCATATAGGTCCAATAACTGTTCTGCATGACAATCCATTGTCTGTATCACACCACCACACTCATCCCCCCATCAAATACTTCAAATTGAAGGTGGTCCGAACTTCTTGGTGCTGGTGTCTTTGTTTGCTTGTCTTGCTGTATCCAGTTCCGGAGCTAGCTGACGTCCACCCACTTCTCTTTGTTTGCACTTCTGATGGTGTATACGTGACTCCGTCTCGTGGTGACCATGTATGGTCCTTCCCATTTTGGAAGTAGTTTGCGTGACCCTGGCGCGTATTCGCTGGTGTTTCGCCTCACATTATTGTATGCTGCCTTTGTCCGACCTCTCAGCAGCGTTCCAAGTAGCAGCCTCTTCGCTGACAGATCTTGAATACCACTCAACTGCGCAACAGTCTCGAGGTCCTGCAAGAAGACCTGTATTTTTCCTTCTTCAAAAACTGCAGGGCATAGGCTGTTTATTTGTTGGCAGGCATTGACACCAAATGTAACAGCAGAAGGCAAGACACGGAAGCCAAGGTATACTTTCTTCAAGCGATCAAACCGCTGTTTATATCTATACAGTTTTATATTTTTTAACCAATCACTGAGCGTGTGATTTTGGCTTACATTAAACGACATGAAATAGAATGTTCAAATACATATATAGTATTCTGTTGCTAATGCAGTATTGAACTGTGGGAACAGTATTCACACGTTAACACCAACAAATATACAATGATTCCTACTGTGAGAATAATATTCCGTTGGAACCCATCGTCGTCTGTATCACACCATCACAATACGATCCATCACTTAAACTGTCCCAACGCTTAAAGGGTTAACAAGACTGCAATTAGATTTCATTTTGTGCTAGGATCAATTTACAATCTTAGCCTAGTATATGCGAATTATCTCAATGATTGCAGGTTTACCATAATCGTTAACTATCAACTTAATAACTGTGAACTTCAGATTAAAAATAAGCTTATAGTATTATCCAGTGTCAGAAATCGACCTCGACACGTTCAAATAAGCAAAACGTCGAAAAAAACCCTGTAGATTTCAGTGACGAAAATGTATAACCAGTCGATGCAGGAATCCATCATGGCCTTCAGTCTGGATATGTCGTCTTTCCGTTTTATTTCAAAAATTTATAAATAATCCAACATGTTTCACTTTTTTCAGTTTCAGTTCCTCAGATGTGACAAAGACGTTGAGATGTGCCTCTGGGATTCATATTTCTTGTAAGAGGAGATGTTTCCTGATTGGCTGGGTTCGAGTCCTGCCCAACTGAAATAGCATCATCCACCCTTATTCAATAAGTAAATGGCTCATAATTCGAATAACTGAGTTCGAAATGATCTATTATTCTGATGTTTTAACTGCTCATCACTGAATAATCCTCGGGCTAGAGCTATGCAACTGTCCATTTTCACTTTGCGTTTTGACTGACCGACTGACTGGTTTCAACATACTGTAACAACAGAAGACAAGGGCCAGGCAACAGATCGTTTATCTAGGAAATCAACAGATATTTATAGATTTTCATGTACATTATTATAGATTATTGTTAGCAGACAAACACAGTCTTCTGATTGGTTGTTTCTCACTGAAAGTTAATCTTTCATCTCTTTGTGGCCGTTTCTTGAAGCTCAGATTATCTATCTGCAAATTGTATCCGCCTACGCAAAGGCTGCTGTGATTGGTTGTTGAGTCAGTCTTTGTTCTTGTTTTTTTTCTCATGACCAATATTTGGGACATAAACATTGACGTGAATTACTGTCTACCAATTTTGGCTAGCAGACAGCTCTCACCACAATACGACTTTGTACTAATGTGCAGCAGTTCGGCTGGCCACACTTCACGTAGCTCACAAAGCAAGAGAAAAGATTCAGTACAGAGATAATAAACAAATATGAGGTAAAAAGAATAGTAATATCGAAGAACAATAGAGTTTTATTGGATATTATAAGTCACAAGGAGTAGATGCATCTGCACCAGCCATTGACAACGATTTTCAGCCATATTACCAACTGTCTTCAGCCTTCATTGTTTTTTACCATCCCGAGGACGCCAACCAACCAGTCAGGAAGTCTACACCTCCCTACGTGGCTGGCTTAAACCAATTGTTATGGATTTCATTGAGTGATGAAGCCATGTTTCGGTTTGACCACCACTGGCTCTTTTCTAACCTGACCCTATGTCAGCTAACATCACCCGTTGTCGAGGAAGGCGATGGCCAGCCATGAATGTGTAACACATGTCCTAACTGTCTCACTCGGTGTAACTTCACAGCCTCGTCTATTGATTTCCCCTCCTTACTTACCTAGCACTCGACGCCTAACCAACTCAATATTGCTCACCTTATTATGCCAATTAACACGGTAGATAGAACACAGACACGTATGATCAAAGACGGCTAGCCTCTTCGTATCTTCCACTTTCAATGGCCAGGTCTCACAGCCATAAAGGAGGACGAATCGGACTGCTGAGCAGTACACACGCCCTTTGGTCGACAGCCAGTCGGATATCACGACTTCGCCAGACACGGCGTAAACTGGCATATGCGAAATTAGCCTTCTGTATCCGTGCTGAGATTTCGTCAGCGATCAATTCACTGGCATTGGCTGATGCAACTTCCCAAATAAGTGAAGTGGTCGACACGCTCTACCAACCACTTCACTCCCTATTTCTAAGCTAGGAGTCAATGTAGTCCAGTCCAGTCCAGTCCTGTAGCATCATCGTTTACATTTGGCGGGAGTGAATCGCATGCCAAACATTCGTAGATTGCAGCTCAAGGTGTTCAGAAGACTCTGCTGTATTTTGTCAGCGTCTTCACCTAGCAGGGAGGACTATATCATCCGCGTGCATATTCTAAGTCAATGAGAGTGTTATTCCCTGATGGTAACAGGTCAATCCCTGAGTCGATGAAGTCAATTAGCGTTAAATGCATTAGTGTACACCTATAATGAAATTAAATAGAAATGGGCATCTTTGACGGACACCACTAGTTGTCACCAATTCAAATGACAACTCTCTCACCTGACTGGCTGCATGAGTTCGAGTAGAGTGCCTTGATCAATGCAATGTATTTTCTCGGCATTCCCTTCACAGCCAAACATCGCCATAGTACCTCTCGATCGACGGAGTCGAGTGCCGCTTTCAGGTCAAGAAATATAACGATTGTTGGACGCCGGTAAGTATACCTATGTTCTAGAATGTGTCGAAGGGTGAAGATATGATCAGTTCACCCTCTTCCTGGTCTGAAGCCTGCCTGGTTTTCTGCTGTTTATTCCTCCCGTGAACCGCTTGGTCTACGCAAGTTTATTGATCCTAGAACTTTAGATACCATAGTAGTCAATCAAATCCCCTTGGGATTATCACAGGAAGGCACATTACACTTTACACAGAAATGCACCAATTCATTTCATCACACCCCATGTATCACTCAAAGGCAAAGATAAAAAGGGAGAGATATTCACAATAACCATAATGAGTGGAACTGTGCGTAAGGAAAAATAATAACACGAAAATACATAAGGGTTCAAAGGATCTGTTAGTCCTTAGAGAATGAATGCATCTGTGTCATTGACAACGACTTTGAAGCATATCTCCAAGTGTTTTCAGCTGTCCGGATGACGCCAACCAAGCAACCTGCACCTTCCTACGTGACTGGCGCCAAACATCTGCCAAACTTCACAGACTACCTTCATATTTTGATCTGGTCACCCCAACTCAATTAATCTCATGTTACTGGAGATTTCCCATCGAGGCAGGCGGTGACCCCAGGCATACACAACACGTGTCCTAGCCATTTCAATCGATATTTTCCTAGAAAAAACCCTTAACATTGCTCATCATATTATTACTGCTTAACACAAACAAAGGCGTTTATGGAGACAGCTAAGCATTTCATATCTTCTGCTTTCAATGGCCACTATGTCTCATAGCCATAAAGGAGACCAGAGCAACCTTCTGCGTGTCACCTCGAAAACAACTAATCCGTCAAGCGTATCCTTTCACAGTAGATAAAAAAATAGAAAATTATTCTTGAAAAACGCTTTATTTGAAAGCATGCTTCATAAAGAATGCAACAACGACTAAGAATAACAATAATAATAATAATAAAAAAGAAGAAGAAAGTTAAATAAATAAATAAATATTCTGAGAAGAATAAGAAAGCAATCCCCTCCCCCGACCCAAAAAAAACTTGAAACTCTTATTTCTCCCGTCTGGTAAAATCCAATTCTAATATATATATGTTACATAGAATGCTTGTTTCTTTTGGGAAAAAATAAGATTAGTGTGACATAATTTAAACTAAAATAGTCTAAATGATAATCATAATTGTAATAACTACTATTATTCTTCTTATTATTACTATTGTTAGGCTTTATTTTGATAAATAATATTAGTAACAGAAATAGCACTAAACATTGAACAGCTTGACAGTTCCGGAGAAGAACATCGGAAGGCAAGACAGATTGATGGAAAGTGAGAAAGAGAAAGAGAGAGCGAGAAAGGTTAAAGAAGACAGAAGCCATGCCCTTCTTCTTTTAAAAAGTAAGTGTGTATGTGTGTTTTTAGTGTAGTTAAACAAATAAAATAGAATTGCTTTGTTCAATATTCAGTGTTCGCGGGTTTATTTTCAAAATAAGCGCGTAAATAATAGTAATAATAATAATAATCATAGTTGGATAAATAATCAATAAGAAGATAGGCCAATAGAATTTTGGCTATATGTAAAAATAAATAATTATGTGCATATGTATTGATTTGTGTTTTGTCGAGGAAGGCGCTTTCTTCAACTGATGTAATGATGATAAGGATAAGAATAATAATAGTAGTAATTATTATCATAATCATAATAGATTTCGTTGTTACATTTTGATCAGCTCTAATGTGAATCATTAATATGTCGATGGGCACCGAATGACATGCCTGATTGTGAGGCAACTTGATTCTGTGGTAGTCCCATTTGCAGACCGATAACAGATGCTCCGTCGGCTGATAAGTTATCACAACGAATATCTGTGATATGACGTTGACCACCCATACGCATACCTTTTTGACTAGCTAATTTATTTGTACCATATTGAAGACTAATGATATTTTGACCTTCTTTTGACATATCATCACAACGAATATCAGCGATATGTCGACTTGCACCCATTCGCATACCCTAGAAAAAGTAGAGAAGGTGGAAAATTATTGTTATTATTATTATTTGCAATTAAAAGTGTTCTCTTAGCTGGTTGGCTTAGTCGCGAAGCTTTCCTCGTCCTTCTGGACAACATCTTCAGCGCCATATTTAGCACAAATTGAAATGATTTAAATTTCTTCATGCGTGATGTAATTGCGTCTCCTGGTTACTATCTTCACATATGTATTGACCACTTTCTATTGACTAGGGTTTTAAACTTTTTGGTCACCTGATTTACTTTGTATTAATTGGTATATTTCATCTATATTAACGTGTTTGTTAATCGCATTTTCGCTTGAGTACCAGGCTTCTAGGAATTCTCTGGCACTTTTCGTGTTTCCTCTGTTTAAGATTTTGACATGATCCCAATCAAACTGATGACCATAGTTGTCTGCATGCATTGATACTAAAGAATACATATCATGTCTTTTCATGGCTGATTTATGTTCTTGGATTCTGATTCGAAGGGGACGCCCACTTTGGCCGATGTAATGCTTGTTACAGTTCATACAATTTATTTTGTAGATGGTATTAATTTTATCCCCTTTTTCTGTTGGATCTTTTGGTTTGCATAATATCGAATTAAGCGATTTTACTGGTTTGTGTACTATATCTATATCAAACGGTTTCAGTATACTGGCTGTTATTTCAGAGATATTCCTCATGTATGGTAGAATGAATTTTCTTGTGGTCTTTGATGATGGTTTCTTTTTGGTGTTTTGATTCGACTTTAAACACTTTTTGATGAAATTTTGTGGATAACCATTCTTTCTGAAGACCGTTTGTAGGTACTTTTCTTCCATTCTTTTCAACTCTGGAGTGCTACAATGTGTCTGAACTCTTTTAAACAATGTCTGCACACAGTTTCGTTTGTGAGTAGCTGGATTATTGCTAGTATAGTTGAGTATTTGATCTGTGTGCGTTGATTTTCTATATACTTGTGTCTCTAAATCTCCTGTGTTGGTTCTCCTGATTAAGACATCTAAAAATGGGATTTTATTATCTAATTCTTCTTCTCTCGTGAATTTGATGTCTTCAAATATGTTGTTTATTAATTTATGAGTATATTCTAAATCACTTCTTTTAATTATTACAAATGTATCATCAACGTGACGTATCCAGATTTTCGGTTTAATTATAGGTAGAGCTATTAATTCTAATCTTTGCATAACGGCTTCAGCTATTAATCCTGATATGGGCGATCCCACTGGTGTTCCTTTTATTTGTTCATATATTTGAGTATTGAACTGGAAGTATGTTGTAAGGCATAATTTTATGAGTTCTATCCAAGTTGATAATTGCGTTTTTGTGTTTTCATCACTATAGAGTAATTGTTGTATAGTTTCTATTGCTAGTCTTGGACTAATTGAAGTATATAATGCTGTGACATCAAAGGACACCATTATTTCATTGTCTTCTACTTGAATGTTTTTGATTTTCTCTAAAAATTGGATTGACGAATTGATAGAATGGTCACATGATTCTGTTAGGTAATTTAATTTCCTGAAAAGTTCTTTAGATAGATTATATGTTGGTGTTCCTGGAAGCGAAACGATTGGTCGTAAGGGAATATTTGGTTTGTGTAGTTTCGGTCTACCATAGAATCGAGGTAAAATAGCATTACATCGGCCAAAGTGGGCGTCCCCTTCGAATCAGAATCCAGGAACATAAATCAGCCATGAAAAGACATGATATGTATTCCTTAGTATCAATGCATGCAGACAACTATGGTCATCAGTTTGATTGGGATCATGTCAAAATCTTAAACAGAGGAAACACGAAAAGTGCCAGAGAATTCCTAGAAGCCTGGTACTCAAGCGAAAATGCGATTAACAAACACGTTAATATAGATGAAATATACCAATTAATACAAAGTAAATCAGGTGACCAAAAAGTTTAAAATCCTAGTCAATAGAAAGTGGTCAATACATATGTGAAGATAGCAACCAGGAGACGCAATTACATCACGCATGAAGAAATTTAAATCATTTCAATTTGTGCTAAATATGTCCGGAAGGACGACGAAAGCTTCGCGACTAAGCCAACCAGCTAAGAGAACACTTTTAATTGCAAATCATCCACCTGAGCTACAAATCTTCTCTATTGTTATTATTATTGTTTCCTTTAATTCCTAGAGAAACATAGGACTTCAGCCGCACGTCTTCAATGCATTTGGTTCTCTGCCAACGTTTTTATTACCTGGCTTCACGTCTACCCACATGCTTTCATCTCCTCTTCACATGACCTCCTCCTCTATGTCACCTTCGCACTGACGATCATCTCACCACTTACCATTCAGCCAGGTTCCACTCGAGCGATGGCCTGTTATGTGATGTTACCCGCTTGATGGTTTGGTTTCTCAGAGTATGGTCAGTCCACCTCCATTTCTTCCTGCAGATTTGTTGCACAATTAGTTCATGGTTGGTTTGTTCCCAGAGATACCTCCCTGTTGCTGATGTGTCCTGGCCACCCATCTCATTTTGAGTATTGAGCGAAGACAGCTGTTAATGAAGGTGTGTAGTTTGTTCGAAGTGCTCTTTGTGACTCGGTGCCAAGTCTCTGATCCGTACAGTAGCACTGACTTCACATTGGAGTTGAAAATCCAGATCTTATTTTCCATGCTGAGTAGTGCTGTTGATCTCCACATAGACTTGAGAGTAGTGGAAGCTTCCTTTGCTTTCCTGATCGATCCTAACCTTGATATCCTCGTGAGTTCCGTTAGCCTGTAGCTGAAACGATGCTTCCTATGTAGGCAGGTTGGAAAAGAGGTTGCTTCTTCCAGATTTTTCCCATTTATGCTGATTGTTGTTGCTGTTGACCAGAAGTCTTCATCACCTCTGCTCATCTGAAGGCCTATCTTTGATGCTTCTTCTGCCAACTTGTTGCTTTTCACAAGCATATCTTCCAGTTTGTGGGAAACCAGGCATATATCAACGGCGAGGTTCAGATCCTTTAAGTTTTTTCTGTGTGTCCATTTTATGCCTGTTTCCTCACTGCCCGCTCTCTGTGACATTATCCAGCCTACCGCCCTCAATCAGGAAAATCATTGGAGATAGTAGGCAGCCAGCCGGTCTTGTCTTACTCCCGTCTTCACTTTCCTCGAAGGATTCCGTGAGTTTCCCGTTGTGGATTACTTGGCATGCAGCATTGTCGCACAACTGTTGGATGAGGTGTACAATTTTTGGTGGCACCTCGTAGTAGCGAAGCAGTTTAAGGTGGAAAATAATGTTTGTATATTCTTAGTTTCCTAATTCCTGTTGGTTAGTGTTTGCTGGGCTGGAATTCTCGATCTCTCCTGATATGTCGACTCTTAGTAAGCAGGTTTCAACGATGTACGACGGTTGACATGACATTGCGTCCGAGTCTCAGTAAGCAGACAATCAATTACTTCGGATGCAGGTTTATCCAGATGACGAGTTCCAAACAGTAGGAAAGCAGTGAGTCTTGGATTCCAGTGCTTGTTACCAGTGGCCTGCTGAAAACTTCGGCTACGAAAAGCTTCCATCCTCTTATCCAATGTGTTTTAATCTATTAAAAACATCACCTCAAATGGCGTTTTCTACTCTCACGAGTATTTTAAATGTCTACAATCGGCTAGTTCGCACTTTTTTTACTAAATTTGAAAAAGCATAGTCGTGGTCAGTAGCGTATCCCAATATATGAGATAGCTGTGCCTGAATTATGTCCTTGACTCTTAAAATTTATCCCTGGATCTTCTATAATTGGCTTTGAAGCAAATGTCTTACATATGTCTAAGGAGACAAATGGGAAATATTACGAGGGATCGGATTGTGTCTCATGTCACACAACATTCTGTCACTCAGTCTTCTGTCAATTAATATTTCGACTGTAGATCCTTGACAAAGAGAAACTAATATGCAACGAATCTCATCGCAAATTTTGTACATTATATAAACACTGTTCAGAACAAAGCCAATATTTTTATTATTATTTGAAAATCAAATGAAATTAGGTATAAATAAGTCGGTATAGAGGTTAGGACAATCGCCGACCATGCACATGGTCCGGAGTTCAATCCCCGGCTGACTCACACCTAATATCAATGGTTGGTCTACTAAATTTGGACTATCGATATAACATGCTGAAAATTTCATACTTGTACCAAAATTACTGTGTGGAATGAAGCTATAATAAAATAAAATAAAAAGAAGTTAAAGAATCACTATCCAGGAGTGCAAATATACCAGTGACCTTGGGGCAACCTATCGATTTTAAAAGGCAAATTCGGGTCGCTTACTAGACCCTTACTAACCCTTATTTTTCCCTCAGCCTAGCTTAATCTCATCCTAACCATCCGTAATCTATCTGTGACTTAATATCAGCCTACTCCTCCTAACCTATTCTCACCTTAACACCAACTTTAATCATTCCTCTGAATTTGCGTTTCAAGCTCATTGGTGTGTTCTCATCCTTGGGTCGCTATTCTGGCCAATACGTTTACAGTAAAGGAACATTTAGTTGCATCGTTGATTTAATTGTGGTAGGGATGCTCACTGGTCATTCTGGAGATCCGAGCTCAACTGCAAACGAGGCACTATTTCAGCTCATATAACAGGCAGTAGACCCGAAGAAGATGATGGATTCGGTGTAGAGCTCGTAAACTCACCCCATAAAAGACACAACTCCACTGCTATTGAAATTTCTAAGCTGGAAGCCTTACGTTCCATTCCTTGGAACTCAAGTAACAAAAATAAGTAGTGAAAGGTTACATACAATGGAATGAACATGTCCAGATTCTCGCCTTGATTCAGTTCGGAGACTTGGATCAATACAATACCATATCACTATTTCACGCTGCTCTCTGCAGTCTTCTTCTGCTGGCCCCACGGTTGATAATAAATTTTCATCTCCTCCTCCACGTCACCCTCGGGTGTCCCACTCAAGGATTTGACTAGCTCACGATGTCATTCAACGGTCTTTTCATGATGTCGCTAACCCATCTAAATTTCCTTCTGGGAATTTGTTGGACAAAGTGTTCTTGATTGGTTTGTTGTCATATTTCCTTGTCGCTTAGCTTTTCCGATCGTCCATCAGATATTCAGTATGGAGCTAGCGAAGCAGGAAGCCTTTGAAAAAAGTCTGAAGTCTACTTTGATTGGACACTAGTAACTAGTGTATTGTGTGCGTCTAGTCCTTCTATCAGCCAGATTTGCAATGTGGCCACTATGCCAGCTAGGTAGCACGCCATCACCGTGCTATGATATTTAGATGGTTGGAGGCAATCGGCCACAGGAAGCCTTGCCTGACCGAGGTTTCGTGTTAGTTGACACTCACCAGTCAGCCAGCAAGGGGTATCTGCAACCTTGGAGGAACTCATGTCTCTTCTGAGTTTCTAACCCGTGTCACCCAGTGCTGCCTACAGTCAGTGACGTCACCACTGAGCTAGCTATTCGGGCACGTGATTGGCCTTATGTGGGACCGTATTGGATACTTTGATTGGACACTAGTAGCTAGTATGATGTGTCTGTTCCTTTCTTCGGTGCAAACTGAATTCTATCTGTCAGGCTTGCAATGCGGTCAGCATTCTAAGTAGCTCGCGGGTGACGCGGTTACGAATCTCAGAAGGGACATGAGTTCCTTCAAGGTTGCAGATACGCCTTGCTGACTGATGATTGCCAAATAGCACGACACCTGGGTCCAAGGCTTCCTGCAGATTGCCTTCAACCATCCAATAGTCTGTAGTATGTTCGAAATGCTTTTCGTGACTCGCCGGCCAATTATCTGACCCATGCATAAGAAGTGAATTGACACTGGTGTTGAAGATCCGAATTTTGTTCCCTGTGCTGAGTGCTGTAGATTTCCAAATTCATTTCAGAGTGATGAATGTGTACATTGTCTTTGAGATTCTGCTTACGGCATCTTCATCAGTGCTGACTGTAGTTGAGATGATGTTGCCTAGATAGGCTAAAGAAGTGACCTCCTCCAAATTTCTCCCGTTGACAGTGGTTAGCAATCTCCATTACCTCCGTCTTCTCAATGTTCACCTGAAGTCCTGTCTTTGATGCTTCTTCTGTCAACTTTTTGGTTTTCAGCTGTAAGTCTTCAAATTTTTTTGACGTCTAACATAAATGTTAATATATTTCGGTACGTCGTCGTTCAAATAACATTTCAACTTTTATGGAATGAACAACTACTGTTATGTTGTCAAATTCAACCCTGGGATCTCTAATCATAGTTTGTGAACCATTATCCGAAGTCTCTGGAGGAGTTTTGAGTAATGTTGATTGTTACTTTTTTTCGCGAATCGAATAACTATCCTTTGCTCTTCCTTTTTTTCACTAATTGTTTTTTTGATCCTCGTGTATCAGACTTAAAGTCTGTTGACTTTTATTTTATAATCGTGAATAGACTCAAAAGTCTACCATTTCCGTTTCTTCCAGTCTCATTTTGAAGCGTGTACTGACGACAATTCTAACCGATGCATACACGATACTGTTTCAGAAAATTGATTATTATTGCCAATACTAATGTTGACTGTAATAAACAAACTATGGTTACAGTTGGTTGTAGGCGATCGGTAGAGCTGCTTGAAGCGGGCTTTCGCACACTTATTGGCACTCGTCAACAAGGCAGAGCAACAGTCTCTGAAATTTGAACCGGCGTCATTCAGTGTAGCAGTCGGCGAGGTTATCTGAGTGGGGGGACACACAAGTTCAGGATTAACATCCTGTCTCACATGGAGATGGCTGTTGAAGTGGTCACACTGACTAATCACTGGAATGTAATCAACATCATTTGTTTAGTACTTGTTGCGATGGGACCCTATCGTATCACTGCGTAAGGTATTTTAATATTTCATGTATATGGGTATAAGACAGACGTTAATTCTTTCACTTATCTAGGAAATTGAAACCAGTTTGGAAATATTCTTCACTGGGCCTCAGCATAAACAACAAGATTCGCATTCTGTTCAATACAAATGTGAAGTCAGTCAGTTCTTCTACATGGGTCAGAAACTTGGTGTGTCATGGAAAGGATTTCAAACAAGTTACAGACTTTTACCAGCAGCTGCCTACTTTTCTGGCTCCATACTGAAGATCAAATGGTCAGAAAGAATTAGTAACAAGAAAATCCGGGAGCAAACTAACCAAGAGCCAGTAGCTCAATAAATATGTAGGACAAAATGGAGATGGATGGATCGGACGTACGTTGAGGAGGCCGTCGAGTGACATCGGGCTCAGTGCAGGGCATTGCTTGAGGGTAATCCAAATGGGAAGTGACGAGTGGATCGTCGGTGCGGGGATGACATGAAGGAGATCGTATGAGGAGGAGATGAGAGAGTTTGGGCAATCGTGGACCCAGATGAAGAGGATGGCAGAAAATGGAACAAAGTGGAGATGTGTTGTTGAAGCCCTATGTCCCACATGGATCCCAAGGGAGTAATAATAAAAATAATGGGTATAAGAAACCAAGTAATACTTATTCATATTGCTTACCTTTTGTGAAGCAAATTGATTTGTACCCATTTGAAGATTGATAACAGATTTGCCTTCTTGACTCAATTCATCACATTTTATATCTGCAATATGACGTTGATTACTGAAACTCATTCCTTTCTGTGATGCAAATTTATTTGTACCCATTTGTAAACTGATTACAGCAGCACCTAAAGTTTGAAATAAAGAAGAAAGAACAATTAGGTTATTGAGATTTCTGGGTTTTGTAGGAACGCCGGATTTATATCACTGTAGATCTTATCACGAGCAACTGACAACGACTTTTTTATTCCTTTACTTTCCGAGTGGAACATAGGGCACCTTCAAGCTAGAGGCTTGAAGTTTCGTTAGCAGTGGCATTTATTTTTACCGGATGGGGTTGCTAGCCATCCTCATTCCCAACTTTCCCTTTTTACCAGTCTTATTAATAGCTTACCGAGATGAAGGAGTGCGTCGGCTGGGGATCGACCCTGAACCAGATGGGGCGTGGTTGGCGAACATTCTACCGCTATTCCACCGACGTGCTAGGCGTGGTGGCGTACGCCTGTGATCTGGCTTCTTGAAGGCTGGGATGTAGTATTCTACGGGACCGGGATTTCTGGAAAATGGGTGCTCATGTTAATCGGGCGTTCACGCTAAGCACGGCGCCCTTATGGATGACCAGTCGGAGGACGGATTTTCCAGGTCGACAAAGGAGGGGCTGACTGGTCCAAGGAGGAAACCTGGCAGACAACGACTTTGCTGTCCATTTTTGGGGTTCTTTAGAAGTGTGCACCAACAACCCAATCCTAAGTAGAACCTAGAGCCTTCAGGATACAAAGCTGACCCATTAATGTTTGTTGTATTACAAATTAACAAATGACAGAATTCAGGGGTCAGTGGAGTTAGACTCAGTCTTCAAAAGTTCAACGGACTCACCTCGTAATCTGAAGGTCTTAGATCCCTGGATTTCTGGAAACACAGTCGTGAGTAAACACTGATGAAGAGTCCAAAATTGGGGGACAGAATAGTTGTCCAGTACTCCTAAGTTTTCAGTGATTCTCGAATTGGTTTCAATTTGTGACGAAACTTTTAAATTCACTGTATTCTAATTTCGGTTCTTGGTTTATCCTTCTACTTCTATTGGACACTATATAATAACTGATGTCATCCGTCTAATCCTTGTTGTTGGTACAAAGTGAATTCTGTCAGTCAAATTTTCAATGTGGCTCACCATCACGGTGCACTATAAATTGTTGTTATTGGATGATTAGAGGCAATCAGTAAAAATCCTTGTTGGGAGCCAGGTTTCGTGTTTTTTGACACTCACCAGTAAACGAGGCGTAACTACGATCTCATGCCCCTTCTGAGGTAGGAACCCACGTCATCATGTACTGCAGTCAGACTGACTTCCTGTAGGACTTTAATGGATACTTTGATTGTACAATAAGTAGTACATAATGTCAGGAGTCTAATTCTTGTATGGTAGCTATCCTCTCCCCACCCCATAGTAGATTCTCTGTTATCATGAACTGTAGTCACCTTTTAATTCACTTTTAGACTTTCCTGTTGATTGATTGGACCGAAGTGCTCGGTTTCAGGTTGACATGTCGGCTTCTTGTGCAGATGATTCCACGATGTCTGGGCATGTAATTAGAAGTTAACTGGTGGATGATGACTAGCAGTGAAATCCAGGATGCGCATTTCGTCCCATTTGGGACTCTTCACCTGGATGTACCTGCATTACGCAGTCAGTCGTGACTGATAGTGTTCCCACCGAGGCTTCAACCCAATGCCGATAGTTTCAAACGCCAAAGCATTATCCTCTAGACGACTTGGGTCACTTGCGTCTAGACCATTAATCCGCTCACTGGGACCCAATCCAATGACCGGCCCATGAACTCCAACTTCTGCTAATTCACGACATATCGCGACCATTTCGCAATGTCTGCTTCGATGAGAAACTGTCCTCACTTTCAATCTGCTGTACCCTACTGGTCACGGCTTCCCACTAAAACCCTAGTTAACTGCTTGAATAGGGCCACTTGCTAGTGAACATCAGGTACATTTTCAAGTATTTATTTTTGTAGGGACTTGTGTTTGATTGGTTGGAAGATTTCATCAGCCCCGAAGGGTGCATACCGATGAGGAGTCCGAAACTAGGCTGACGAAACAGCTGACTGTCCAGTACTCCCAGCTGATTTTCCAATGGTTCTCAAATTGATGTGAGATCATGATGAAACCCTCCAGCTTTTAAAGAACTGGAGCAAGATTCACGCTGTTGTCTACGCCAAGCAAAATACTAATTGGCATCACACCAAAGATGTTTAAAATGCAAAAATCTATCCGGAAGAAAAAGCAACGCTACGCATCATTATCAAACAGAGCTTAGAATAGCAGTTAAATCTTTACATCAATTTGATTAATTTTATAAAGGTCTTTGACAATGATGACAATGAAGTAATTTGGAAACTGCTTCAACTCTAGGGAGTTCTCCAAATCTTTATCAACATCATACAGCATCTAGCTACATGAAAATGCCACATTTCAGGCAATTCACAGCGGAAAATTCAGGGGAGCATTTGAAGTGAGAACAGCAGTGAGACAATACTTTCTACTATCACTGGTGATATTCCTGAGTGTGTTGGACTAAATCGTATAACAGACTGTGGGGTTCAGGAAGATGGGCATACTTTGGATCGACAAGAAGATTCTAAAAGATTTGGACTTTGCGGACGATTTATGAATAATGTCACACAGACTCCGTAATCTACAAGCAAAAATCAACGAGTAAGCAGAGGAGGGGACATAGAGAAGAAAGAAGTGGAAACACCCAACCAACCGACAACACGCATCATCCACCATCAGTGAAAGAAATTTGAAGGAAGTCAAATTATTTTTCACTTATATCGACAGCATTGATCCAACTACAGGTAGATGGCATGTGTGAGGATCTAAAGTCAGGCAGGAGCGAGAAAGCAAGACTAACCCTCATTACTCTGCAATCACCATGGAAATCTACTTCGCTTTACATCAGGAACAAGATCCAAACTTGCAACTTTAATGTGAATTCAGTGCTCCTAAATGGTTCAGAGACTTGACGCTTCATCAAATTATCTCCACCAATGTAGCTGCAAACTTTTATCCACAGCTGACTTCGCTTAATAGTGAAGATTAAATGCCTGGCCAGAAGGAATAAACAACAAGAAACTCTGGTGTTTCATCAGTCAAGAAAATATCACCCAACAAATATACAGAGGGAAATGGAGATGGATTGGATATGGTGTCATGAGGAGACTGTCAGTTAGACATCACGTACCAGGCATCTGAGGGTGATATGGAGGAGATGAGAGATTATGGTTAAACGAGGAACCAGGACATTTTAAAGGACATGATGCAATGAAGACGTATTATTGAAGCCCTTCGTTCCACCCAGCACCTAGATTAATAACAATAAAAGTAATGAAACACGATATCTAGGGGGGGGGGTAAAAACGAAAATGGATTCACTACTGTTTCACTTACCTTCTGGTGTCATATCATCGCATTTAATATCGGCAATATGACGTTGTGCGCCGAATGACATACCCTTTTGTGAGGCTAGTTTATTTGTTCCAGCTTGTAGACCAATTATACCTTCACCAGCGCGTAATTGCTCCTCTGACCATTGGCGTGGTTGTGAATAGGTTGGTTTAGGCCCACAAACTGGTCCTTGAAATCCATTACGTTGGCACTGAATAACGACAGCGAAAGAAGATGAGAAGAAACTCATTAAGTTAAGGATAGAGTGAAGGCTATACTGGGAGAAAATGAATCTTAGACATTGTATTTTGTTTCACATAGAAAAGTATTAAATAAGACAATGATGCACCATCTATTTATTTTTTTATATTTTATTCCTTCGCGTTCCACATGGACAAAATGCAGAGTACTCTGAACACGTTGGGTTGCAATCTGCGAATGTTTGGCATGCGATTCACTCCCAGCAGATGTAAGATGATTCTACAGGACTGGACTGAACTACATTGACTCCTAGTTTAGAAATAGGGAGTGAATTGCTTGGTGGGGCGTGTCGACCACTTCACTTATTTGGAAAGCTGCATTAGCCCAATCGGTTGATCACTGACAAAATCTCAACACGGATACAGAAGGCTCGTTTCGCATATGCCACCTTACGCCATCTCTGGTCTAGAAGAAGTGATTTACGACTGACTGTCGATCGAAGGATATGAGTACTGAGCAGCAGCAGTTCGTTCCGTCCTCCTTTATGGTTGTGAGTAAGACATGACCGTTGAAAGTGGAAGACATGAAAAGGCTGGCTACCTAGCTTTATTTGATCATAGGTGTCAGTTCTATCTACGTCACGTGTTAGGTGGTATAATACAGTGAGTGATATTGAGTTGGTTAGGCATCCGTTGAGTGTTTGGTTTGGAAGGAAATTAAGTCAACGTGGTTGTGAGGTTACATCGATTGAGATGGTTAGGATATGTGTTACGCATACCTTGCCTAGGCTAGCCATTGATCGCCTTCCTCGACAGTGGGCAATGTTAGCCGCTGAAATAGGATGGATCAGGTTGGAAAAGAGTCAGTGGTGATTCCATATTATTTTTCTATTAGATATATCACACAGTGAAACAGTATTATTATTTACTGGATGACGTTTCGAACAAAATTCATTGTTCATAATCATCTCATCAATTATAATCACACTTCTTCGAAACTTGAGTTTTATAGTCTTCTTTGTTCTCTCCAATTCGTCGTCGTAGAGGTAATAGAATTTTCCAGATATCTGGGACAGGTATTGAATCATTCCTGTTACATGTATTTGCAGTTGATTTGATAAACAAAGCTTCTGTTATCAATCTCTCCCTCCACCCTGTGACACTAGATTTTAAAACTGTCATCCTATCCCATCAGTGGTGATGATCAAATCAAAACACAGCTTCATCAGTCAATGAAATCCACAACAGCTAGTTTTAGCCAGCCAGTCACGTGGGGAGGCGTGGACTTCCTGACTGGCTGTTTAGGGTCCTCGGGATGGGAAAAACCAGTGAAAGTTGGAGACAATTGGTGATTTGGCTCAAAACCGTTCTCAGTGACTGGCGGAGATGCATCCACTCCTTGTGGCTTGCAATATCCAACAAAACTATATTGTTCTTCGATATTACTATTCTTTTTGTCTGATATCTCTGTTTACTGTCTCTGTTTTGCTTTTCTTTTTACTTACTTTCTTTCTTTGTGTGCTAAATTGAGGGAGTGTGGCGACTCGAACTGCTGCACATCTTTGCAAAGTTCTATGCTGAAACCAGACAGAGAGTCCCACATGGAACGCTAAGCTTCAAGCTTCATCTTTGAAATTTAAGTGGCAGCAGTGTTGTAATTTACTCAGTGACGTTGCCAGCCTCACATCTTACCTTCCCTTTTTATCGGGCTTAATAACGGCTAAGAGAGGATTAAGAGGAATGCACCGGGCGGGAATCGACCCCCGTTGGCGTGTTCTATGCCGCTGAACCTCTATACACCCCAATTATCTATATATTACAGAAAAATAGGTATTTATAAGTTTATCGCTTCACAACATGACAAAACAGCCACCTTCATCAAAACTTTACTCCAAAGAAGTGAATATTTCCAAGAATTGTTGAATAGTGTGGCTGAAGGTGGGATAGAAATCTTGACCATGGCAGAATTCGAAACACTGGCTAATGGATTACTAGTTGAGACCTATTACTAATAACTAACTCCACTGCTAACCGCCGAATTAGGAATCCAGAGGCTTTTAGTTTGAATGCTTCTGCGATGTAGTTTTTCATTTCGCCTTTATAGTCATCATCATCATACTAGTCATCACATTAATAGTACTTGATGGGTGTTTCGTCCCACCTAAAGACTCTTCAGCAATATTCTGGGGTTCGAAATCAGGTTCTTCCAGTCCTTTGGTGGACCCATTGACCATTCAGCCATTGAGACTTGATCCAGTGGCCGGTAAATTCCAACTTCCGCCAATTCACGATATATATATGTACACTTCAGTAGGAGTCCGGGTTACTTCCTGCATAGAGTTAATCACTAGTGAGCATCATACTAGTGTCCAAATGTTAGTGTGCAAGGATTTGACCAATTACAGGTTACTGATGAAGAGTCCTATACTAGGATGAAACAGCTCTCCAATGGTTCTCTAACTGATATCAGCTTATGATCGAACCTTTAGCCAATCAAATGACTACGAATCAATATTTGAAAACATCAGTAGTAGCAGGATCAAATTAATGGCGTGAGATCTGAATTCAGTACCAGATTGACTAAAAGTTTGATGCTTTAGGTATATTTAATGACAGGAAGGTGCGTCGGTGGCATAGCGGCTAGGACGCTCGCCAACCATGCACATGGTCCGGGGTTCGATCCCCGGCCGACGCCCTCTTTTACCTCCCTAAGCCAGAAATAATACTGGTGAAGAGGAAAGGTTGGGCATGAGGCTAGCAACCCCATCCTGCTACAGAAACTTCAAGCCACAAGCTTGAAGCCCTATGTTCCACTGGGGAACGTGAAGGATAAAAAAAATAACAGGAAAATAATGATGACACAAACTTGAAGGAATTCATTTGTGAATTACTGAACTCAGATGTCTTCTCTTATAGACAGTGACAGAAACCACAAAATAGACTGGAACATGAATAATGAGATGAAGATTTCAAACAATGGTCAGTCCAATTTCAGACTCACGAGAATACAATCAATAATTCTACAGTGGAATAAAACGTTAACATGGGCCATTGTTCAACTACAGGCGGAACTGACGAGGATATCAAAGCAAGGATCGGAAAAGCAAGGCAAGCTTTCATTACTCTCAAGTCTGTGTGGAGGTCAACAGCACTACTCAGCATCAAAAATAAGATCCGGATTTTCAACTCCAATGTGAAGTCAGTGCTACTATCCATACGGATCAGAGACTCGGCGCGTCATAAAGAGCATCTCAAACAAACTACAGACCTTCATTAACAGTTGTCTTCGCTCAATACTCAAGATCAGATGGCTGGCCAGAAAAGATCAGCAACAGGGAACTCTGGCAATGAGCGAACCAACACAGCAGGAACCGATTGTGAAAGAAATACGCAGGAAGAAATGGATATGGATTGGCCGTACTCTGAGGAAACAAACCATCAAGTGACATCACTAGACAAGCCATTGCTCGAGTGGAACTCGAATGGGAAGCGGCGAGTTGGTCGTCAGTGTGAGGGTGACTTGGAGGAGGTCATGTGAAGAGGAGACGAAAACATGTGGGCAGACTTGGAGCCAGGTGAAGACTGTAGCAGAGAACCGAACGCAATGGAGACGCATGGCTGAAGCCCTATGTTCCTCTAGGAATTAAAGGAAATAATAATAATTGTTCAACCGACAATAAAGAGCACAGAAATGTTTGTACTATAAGATCAGAGTGTATATTTTTCTGGCCTCGGAATAAAACATTACACTGGGTACAACATTATGTGACTGGCAACACCAAATAAACTAGTTGGTCCTAAGTCCCGAAATAGAGGGGAAACGTTGGTTGGTCGTGGAACTAGTAATCCTACCATGTAAAGCCGCCCTCCAGATGGTGAAGAGACTTTAAAGGAAGGAGAAGAATAAATCAAAACTTGTTTTCTGCTGAAATGGAAAAGATTTCTCAATTCAAGGACGGAATAATAATGATAAAGATAAAGACTTATTCTTTAAGAAATGCAATCTTTATGCACGACAACGCATCAAGTAGAAAAAAGCGAATGGCTTTCATCCTCGTTTCCTTTTGTTCCTTCAAGGTTGTGAGAACGGCTTACTGTGGAGTGCCGATAATCGCCAGAACCCAACTCCTCAGTTTCGTAAAGTTCAGTGAAAAGAAGAACAATAGTTGATGAGATTTTCTGCCAGTATTTTTCCTATCTGAAGCGGCTGTAATGATGATTCAGTATTCATGTTAGTATTTGCTTTCTAGAATTTCGATCGCCTAGTACTAGTTTTCAGGGATTTGGTTAGTTACAGATTTAATCATGAGCTAACACCAGTTAGACAACCAATGGAGAATCAGGCAATACTGGGTAGGTGTTTCGTCAAAGTTTGGGACTCTTCGGTATTACCCCGTAACTAGTTGAATCCCTGCAAATTAACACTTGATAATTATTCTGATACTCACTAACGACTGGCTCGAAACAGGAAGTTAGAAGTTGTGATCGATGGGGTCCATCAAGTCAGCTAAGAAAATAGTTATTCGCCGATGATGCTGGCTGGCTGGCGGTTGCGCTATATATATCGCGAATCGGTAGAGGTTGGAATTCATAGGCTGAACAATCAACATCCCGACTTCTATTGGGAAGGTCGTGGGTTCAGACTCCCACGGCTAAGTACTGCTGAATTTCTGTTGTATATTCCCATTATAACAAAATCAAAGTTTTCTGCAGTAATGTTGGATATTTTCCTTATTTCATCCACATTCCATGCTGGTAGACCATCTGTGCCTAAGATGTGCCTGTGTCCTTCAAACAATAAATGCTGTGTCAAAGAGTCGAACCATCAGTAACTATGAGGTGAGAGTTGTATGCTAGCCAAATTGGTACACAGCAATTTACGTCAATGTTTACGTCCCAAATCTTGGTCATGAGAAAAAACACACAAGAACAAAGACTAACTCGACAACCAATCACAGCAGACTTTGTGTGGGCGAATACAATTAGCAGATTTATGGTCTGACCTTGAAAAGAAATGGCCACAAAGAGATGACAGAATAACTCTCAGCAAGGAAACAACCAATCAGAAGATGCTGTTTCTCTGCTAATAATAACGAGTAATAATGTACACAAAAATCTATAAATATCTGTTGATTTCCTCAATAAACAATCTGTTGCCTGGCTCTTGTCTTCTGTCGTTACAACTAGACCTGATGGCTTACTAGCGGCTAAGGGAGGTTTAGGCGTGCGTCAACAGGGTAATCAAACCGTGGACTTATTGGTGCAGTTGGCGAGTGATCTGCTACTGAACCACTGATGCTCTAGGCTGTTTGAGATATAAATTTGGCACTTACAAGTAAGTGAGCAAGTAAATGATTGGGTAAGATAAAGGATGAACTCACTTCTGTGCCCAATTGTAACAAAGTAGCTAAAACTTGAGCCATATTTCTTGCTTCAAATAAATCAACTGTTTGAAACAGACATTCACGTGGAACACCATATGCTTCAGATAAATCAAGAAATTTTTGTATATTTTCCATCTGTAAATGAAAATAAGGAGAAAATTTCATTATTATTACTATTGTTATTTTTATTAAATGTGGTTATATATTACTGAATAATTGATATGAGTAGTTAGTTCTTGAGTGTGTAATTGTTGCGTACAAAGATACCTCGGTAGTAAAAGAAAATAATGTATGAAGATTGTGGTGTACATTGACAGGTGTAACAGATAAACTCATAATCCTCTGACAGGATGAGTCAGTAAAAGGATCTGTCTATAAGAAGATCACGTGGAATTTACAATACCTATATAAACACAGTCCCAGTCCACTCCAGTTCAAAAAGGACATAGTTAAATATGACTGATTAATATCCTTCGATGTCACAGCATTATATACCTCAATTGGACAGGAACTAGCAAAAGAGCAGCCATGGAGCAGTTGCTACTCAGCAACAATGAACACCTCGACAACAACAATCAAAAATTCAACACACAAGTTGGATGGAATGCATAAACCTATGCCTAACAACGTACTTCCAAATATATGAACAAGCTAAAGGAACACCCATGGGATCGCTAATACCAGGTTTAATTGCAGAAGCTGTGATGCAACTGCTTGAAAACATAATCCTACGAAAGATCAAACCAAGAATTTGGATACGTTACGTAGAAGACACATTTGTAATGATGAAAAGAAACGAGTTTGTTAAAACTCACAACTTAATAAACACATAAAGCAATAAGAAGTCGTAATTTGTCTGAATCGTGTATTGTATGTGTTTGAGCAACACATTTCGAACAATCTGATCATACACATAGACTTGTCATAGGAATATATATGAAATTAATAAAGAGTTAAGAGGTGAGAAAATAAACTACTTAGGTCAGGTTAAAAGGACATATTCAAGGTCAAAATAACAATGAAGACCACTAAACCCAATAGCAGAGGTAATAGTACATCTACCCTGGGTGGTATCAAAACAAAGTTCACCAAGGAAGGTTTAATGTGATGACGAATTGTTTTTGAACACATAAAGGTGGCTTAAACTTTCTAATTGCCAGCTAGGGCTTCCACAAACTTTAGGATACGCCCCAAACACGTTTTATAGATAGGTTTAATAGATCTGTTAACGTCAATTTTATGTCCTGTCTCTATAATGTGTTTCGCAATAGAAGAGCTAGGTCTCCTGTCCTCACGGTTAATGGGTTCTGAAGATTCCATTTGTTTCTGGAGCCATTTAGGAATATGCTCAGGTAAAACAAGAAGTCTTTTCAGAAGACTTTATGCACGTACGTCTAAGTATAAAAATTCCACTATACTATATTTGGCACGTACTTTATGTGATGCAAGTGGTGTTAGGCATGAACTAACTAACCTTCTTTGCACTACCAAATAAACCATTTTCCTCCATCCTTACAACATTAACCTTTATTGTTATTGTACTTCTTATATTTATAATCCTCTCATTTTTTTTGTTTTTATTTATTTTTTCATAAGTGTGAACACAATTTAAGCTGTTATAAGTGTTAATTTAGTATTTCCCCTCACTATACTATGTCAACAGAACATTAGATTCAATGCCTCTATAACATGCTAAAGTTTCCAAACTGAATCGACAATACTGTTTGAAACAAACTATTATTATTATTATTGTTATTATTATTACTATATTTCATTCTGTCAATTCGTGCTTCGAATATTTTTGACTTTATATCGTAGACGTGGACAAATTCCTCTGATTAATTTTTTAAAAATTTTATTTATATATTGAGTAAATTAAATGCAATATTGTGACAAATGCTGAGAATTCCATTCTGTATTATGAGTACTGTTTTTGGAATAAAGTAGATTATTATTATTATTATTATTATTATTAGCCAGGGAGATCGTCAAAGTGGCTTAAGCCTTGAACAGCTGCTACAAATATTTAATTCAGTTTAGATTTTCCTATCGATTGATTGAGGTGCAGCGAACACCTTCCTAGATTAGACACCTGCTAGAAAGCCCTACTGATTGTGTGTGGGTGTGTGGTGTCCAACTAACTACTTAAATCAGTTAATCAGTAGTATACAGTATCATATATATTTTTTTATACTGCTTAATCGGATCAAGCAAACATTTCATATTAATAATAATGCTAGTTTAAAAATAAAACTAGGTTAAAATTTCATAACAGAAATAAAAAAATATTATTTATAAATTAATACTATTACACCGATAACTAGTTCAAACCATCTATTACAAACTACACAGTGGTTTCAGCTAAAGTTCATATCCTTCTTCTTCTTCTATATATATATATGTATTAGCTTTTAATTTTCTGAAAACAAACAGCAAGCCAGCGAACAATCCTTCACTAACTAGCTAACTAAATAACTACCTAACTAACTAACCTTAATCAATCTTATTCAATTCATCCCAAAAAATTATCTGTGTGTATTTCACCCATTTAATTTCAATAGTGCCTTTCCCTTCCTTCCTTCCTTAATCAACACAAACTCTAGAATGCCAAATTCCATCATTTTTCTGACAATTTAAATACCCGCCTTGAATCAATATTCAGTACACAGTACAACGAGTAGAATTAGAAGAGAGAGAGAGGAAAAAACCACGGTGCAACCAAATAAAGAAATGATTAATCTCCTTTTCACTGTCGGTGTGTGTGTGCTTTCTGCGTTGATTTCAACGGTTATCATCCCGCAAAAAAAAGTAGTTCACATTCTATCAAACACTCACACACACACACACAAACACGTCAATATAGCTAGCTACCAATGTCCTGGATAGGTAGGCCGTACACATTGAATACCTCCTTACTTTCTATCTGTCTCTCTCTTGCGCTGTGTATGCGTGCGTTTAATTCAATTATATATATTGTTATATGCTGTATTATTTGTTGGGCATAGATTGGGAACTGTTCATGTGCTGTGTGTTGGTGTAAGTGTGGATGTGTGTAGATGTGTACACGCAACATGAACTGGCATTTCAGTGCACATTTTTTGGTTGTTGTTTTTTTCTGGCTCTTCTTGTCCTCTGAAATTTATTCAGTCATATCAGCAGAATTATTTATTATATTTATTAGTAGGATTGCTGCTTATTGTTATTTTTTAATCATTCATTGGTGGTAGAGGAAAGCAGTAACAACTGAAAACTGTAATTTAGGCCATTTTGAACTAGTTAGTAGAGTAAAAATAAATATTTGTAGGCATTATGAAGTTTGGTATTCAAGTATTGGTTTTGTAGGGATTTTTGTTTGATTGATTACAGGATTTCATCATGAGTGGACGGTTGGAAAACCAACCACATGGAGTACTGGACAGCCAACTGTTTCATCAGCCTTGTTTGGGACTCTTCATCCGTTCTCTAACCGATGTCAGCTCATGATGAAGTGCTGTAACCAACCAAACAAAAATCCACACAAACCAATACTTGAATACCAATAAGATGCTCATTGGCAACTGGCCGAATTCAGGTAGGTACAACAACAACAGGTACAACAGGTCGAGGGTGAGGACAGTTACTCATCGAAGAAGACATTGCGAAGTGGTTGCGCTATGTCGTGAACTGGCAGAAGTTGGAGTTCATGGGTTGGACATTGGATCGGGTCCCAGTGAGTGACTTAACAGTCTACGAGCTTGCTCGCCTTGTAACCAGAAGGTCCTGGCTTCGAACCCCATTGGGATGGGTGCGTAATGATGAATAGTCCCAAACTGAGCTGACAAAAAACCTGGTTGTTCAGTACTCTCTGTGGTTGGTTTTCCAATGGTTCTCTAACCATAAGTGATATTCTTGGAGTGAATTTAACTACAGACTATTCACAACGGATACACTGCCGACTTGGATGCGTTCTTCCTTAAGATTGAAGTTCTGCATGTTACTAATATTATAAGTCCCTTGGGTTCTGAGTGGAACCTACGACTTCAGCAGCCCATCTCCATTTCATCCTGTTCTGTACAATCTTCTTTAGCTGGCTCAAAGATCGCTCACAGGCTCTTATCTCCTCCTTATACGATCTCCTCCATTTTACCTTTGGACCTACACTCAAACTCATCATTTCTAATTGGAGTTTCACTGGGGCGCTGGTATGACTGGCTGGCAATGTCACTCAACTGTCTCCTCAGCCTGTTTCTGATTCATCTCCTGAATTTTCGGCATATTTGTTGGGCCACAGGTTCTAGAATTCCTTGTCGCTAATCTCTTCTGACTAGACATCTGATCTTCTGCATAGAGCTACAACAACTGTTGATGGAGGTTCGAAGATTAATCTAAATGCTTCGATGATACGCCAAGTCTTTGAACTGTACAGGAGAACTGACTTGACATTAGAATTGAGATTCCGAATCTTCTCTTTTATACCCACAGAGATTCATTAACAAGTATATTAAATCAAAAGTTCAGATCCAGTAAAGAAACTTTACGTGCACTTTGACTTCAAGACGGACTTAATCTGCGATATCCTTAAGCAAAGCATTTCAAAACCCTTTAGAATGACGATAAGTTGTAGTGCTCTCCAGTCGTCCACTGATTTGCAGAAGCCTTAAGACATGATCTTGCATCTGACCACTTCTATGTAAATGTATTGGCTCATTTGTTCCTGTGAAGCAGGTACTCTGGTCATTCAACGCTGTGTGTACAACACACGCAAATGCAAATACAAACGAATGCACAAATACACATCAATGCAGCAAAGTAGCTATTAATAACCTGGATATTAATGAGAACAAAACACGTGAAGCTCAGCGAAGAGTCTCTTTTCGCCGGCGAATTCCATTCACACTTAGCTCTACACAGTTGCAATTACATATATACTTATTTTCGTATGTGTGTGTGTACATTAGGTTTTTCCAATAAGAATAAAAATAAGTCAGGGTTATTGTTGTCAAGACATTTCAAAAATGTGATGAATAATCAAATTATAACTAGGGGGGATGAGGATTAGTAGGAAGGCAGTGGTGATCCGTTGTTACGTAATAAGGCGGATAGTTTAATGAGTGAGTTGTGATTAGGATGCACGTAGAAACAAAGGAAAATATGGA